CCCAAAGAAAGGTAATGCCAAAGAATGTGCAAACTACTGTACAATTGCAACCATTTAACATGCTAGCAAGGTAATGCTCAGAATTCTTCAAGCTAGGCTTCAACAGTGTATGAACCGAGAACTTCCAGATGTACAACCTGGATTTAAAAAAGGCAGAGGAATTGAAGATCATCAAATTGCCAACATCTGTTGGATCACAGAAAAAGTAACAGAATTCCAAAACAACTACTTCTGCTTCACTGACTACACTAAAGCCTTTGTGTGGATCACAACAAACAGTGGAAAATTCTTAGAGATGGGAATCCCAGACCACCTTACCTGTCTCCTGAGAAACTTATATGCAGGACAAGAAGTAACAGTTATAATCAGACATGGAACAACAGACTGGTTCAAAATTTGGAAAGGAGTATGTCAAGGCTGAATATTGTCACCCTGCTTATTTAACATCTATGCAGAATACATTATGTGAAATGTCGGGCTGGATGACTCACAAGATGGAATCAAGATTGCTGGGAGAAATATCAACAACCTCAGATATGCAGATGATACCCCTCTAATGACAGACAGTGAAGAGGAACTAAAAAGTCTCTTGACGAGGGTGAAAGCAGAGAGTAAAAAAGCTGGCTTAAAACTCAACATTCAAAAAACAAAGATCATGGCATCCAGTCCCATCATTTCATGGCAAGTAGATAGGGAAAAAGTGGAAACAGTGACACATTTTCTTTTCTTGGGCTCCAAAATCGCTGCTGATGGTGACTGCAGCCATGAAATTAAAAGTCTCTTGCTCCTTGGAAGAAAAGGCATGGGAAACCTAGACAGCATATCAAAAAAATGAGACATCACTTTGCCGACAAAGGTCTGTATAGTCAAAGCTATGGTTTTCTCAGTACTCACGTACAGATGTGAGAGTTGGACCATAAAGAAGGCTAAGTGCTGAAGAATTGATGCTTTATTTTTTTTTCATAAGCTAAAAAAAGTTTATTTTAAAAATCAAAAGTCTAGAACAGATCTTTCACTTTATAAAAAGAAATATGATGAAGAAAAAAAGCACACTGGTTAACATATTTGAATATTATCACAATTCATATACTATTTTGTGCTATTCAAAACAACCAAAAAAATTGTTTTTTATATTTAAAATAGTATTTATTTGCCTATTTCATCTCTTCATTGTGTTTTATTATAGAGATCATATGTTTCAGAAATTGTATTTACTTCAAGTAAACCCAGTTCACCAACTATCCCATTTTCTTACCTTTAGGAGGAATTTATATTAATGACTTTTTGAAGCAAGTAAAATAGCTTTTGAACTTGGAGGTATAACCCTTGATTAATATAGTTCCCTTTCATCAAATTCTAACAAAATGGGATTTTTATTTCTTACAGAAAATGCCCTTATTCTCTGTTACTACATACACTATCTCTTCTTAAAACATTTAAGCTCGTTTTCAGAGTATGTAGCATCTTTTGAAATTTTTTATCTTGTTATTATTGTCAAATTGACTTTTTAGCACAACTATCTTCAGATTTTAATAACTTAACATCCCATTTTGGTGAAATTGTCTTGTTTCTGAGAACTTCTGACTTCTGAAAAATATGTCTGGTAACGGCAATATGCTTCTTTTTGGGGGAGGGGGGATCGGGGTGGGGAATACTTGTAAATCCATGGCCGATTCATGTCAATGTATGACAAAAACCACTACAATATTGTAAAGTAATTAGCCTCCAACTAATAAAAATAAATGAAAAAAAAAGAAGAAAAATGTGGAAAAGAGTGACCTAGTTCACAAATTAAAAAAAAGAATTGATGCTTTAAAACTGTGGTGCTGGCGAAGACTCTTGGAGTCCCTTGGATAGAAAGGAGATCAAACCAGCCTATCCAAAAAGAAATCAACCCTGAATACTCATTGGAAAGACTGATGCTGAAGCTCCAGTACTTTGGCCACCTGATGTGAATAGTCAAGTCATTGGAAAAGACCCTCGTGATGGGAAAGATTGAGGGCAGGAGGAGAAGGGGGCAACAGAGGATGAGATGGTTGGATGGCATCACTGATTCAGTGTACATGAGTACATCTCAAGAACCTCCCTGAGATTCACCTCTAGGCTGTATTCTCAGGACCTGGAACAAATTTGACCTTGAAAATCTTAGAAAGAAAAGGCTCACGTTCTTTTTGCAACAAAACTTGGAGCCAGTACAAACTGAGGAAATATGAAAAATGGCCTGTGAATGGCACACTAAATTATAACACAATCCTCCAATTTGAGCTCTTTTGCTGTTCCTCATGCTCAAAGCTTTATGGCACTTAGTCTGACTCCAGATCTAAGGGCCTCATGCCACATACGTCTTTCTTTTGCCACCTTCTCCCCTCAACTCCCTCTGGCTCTCCCTCTCCATCAGATTTCTGAGCCCAGGACTTTCTCCTATAATCAAAAGTCTGGGAAAACTCTCATAACATTGTAAAGAATCCCCTTCTCTCTCCTCCTACCTCTTGGGGGCAGGTTTGGGGGGAGGGAGAGGAAAATGGAAAAGAAACCAAGCTTCCCCTCTTTCTGCAAGTTCCCTTACTCTTCCAAATTCTTCTGATCAAACTAAGCTCCCACCTCCCCAGAGGAACAATCACGGCTGGGACAACATCAGTCTGCCCCTGTCATCATAGCCAATTTGAGCACTCTCTGATTTAAATGTTATCTATGAACCTATGACTACAAAAAAGAGAGATGACATTTTTGACACTGGATGGCCATGATATTCTTTAGACCCTGAAAAAAAACAACTGGTTAAAATGAAATCTTTTTGAAATTGCAAAACTGGTTCTTTTTGCTATTGCAATTAGGAAAAAGCTGGTTTGTTAAAATCTCTCTTTTTTCTCTTTTTAGCTCTGACCCAGCCTGAGAACAGAGAAACATGCCTAGGAAAAAGCCTGAAGTTAACTCTTACCATGTCCCTGAAACACACACCCCACTTTGCCTGAGACTCCAGTCATGAGCAAGTTAGCAAAACTTCAAGCCAAGGGGAAAAGAGGGGCAAAGAGACATGTTAAATCTCAAGCGGAAAACTGAGATCTCTGTCCAGATTTATGTATACCTCAGTGTGTGTCTTTGTCTTTGGGTAATATTGCTGAGTTATTCTGTCAATGGGCTCTATTTAATCTGCCTAAAGAAAAGTAAGCACTTACAAATCATACAAGTCTTAAGTCAAGAAAAAAATCAAACTGAATGACTTTCAGGTTCATGTGAACTGGAAAATATTCACTATTAAATTAATACCTGGTATTAACATTTATTTGTTAATCTAATGAACATAGACATTGTGAAGGTACTTTTAAGAAAATGCAAATGACCTAAGAGCTTTGGGTGATTTATGTTTACCAATCTACAGAATGCTTACATAAAGGACAGTCCATGGTTGCTGAAGGAAAGTAGGATATATGTTTTCAGTAAAAAGGTATAAGAAATGAAATTACATTCTATTAAGGGAAAAGGAAGTTAAGTCTAAACTTACAGGTGCCTGTTCTCTGACTGAGCAAGTGATGTATTTATAGAAAGTGTAAAAAATGTTTGTGGGACATGGACCCCGAGCAGAGAGTTTTGTGCATCATACCAGTTTCTTAAGATGTTGAACTGCATTTGAAATCTTATTGTTACTTTGGCTAAGTGAATAACTCTTGTTTCACAGTGAATATAAGCTGGTACCAAACTGGAATTTGGCTTTCTCTCCCTGTTAAAAGAATAAACTTTTCTTGGAATATGGCTTTTTAACAACAGATTATGTAAATTTCTTCATCTTTAAGTGATTTATATTTGTTTTCAAAACTTATTGTTACTTTAGCAAAATGAGTATTATTTCACTATGATCTATGAAGACTGTGACACACATAGACAAAGCTCATTCTGCTTCTACAAAAATTAACCCCTCATCTACTCCTAAATCAGGGAATTTAAAATGGATAAAGAATGGCTGTCAATCAAACAGTCAGGGCTATGGGAAATCCAAGATGGCCGTTTGGCTTTTCCTGGCTCCCTGACAAACCTCACTTTCATTTGATGGGATAAAGCCATTCCTGGCTGCAGAGTTGATGCTCTTACAATGAAAACAAATGTTTAAAATGTGTCTTCCACTTGGATATATGTTCTACAATCTCCAGTGTTCAAGGCACCCACTTCACTGGACAAATCATACAAGCGTTAATGAAAAACGTCACAAACTTCTTAAAAACTATCACTGTCACTGCCATCCCCCATCATCAGGCAAGGACAACAGAACAAAGATTCATTACATGGGATTAAATAAACTGCTAAATATGATTACAATTTCCATGACTTTTTGTCTGACATACCACTGGCTTCTAATCTTTGTTTCAGATATCAAGAAGCTCTTCCCCTCAAACTACTTGTGGTCTAAAACAATTTAGCAATTTATACCTGTGGGTAAAATTAAAACTTTTTTCTCTCTGCCTTGTCCCTCCAGAAATTTGAGACACTTGAGCTCTGAATAACCTTATCAGGTAAATGAAAAGACTGTCTCCTGGCATATACAGAGATTTCAAAGTGTAGTAGGGATCTCTAGAAGAAAATATCCACCTTACAAAAACTCATGACAGGTGTACGGTGTCTATAGTCAATGGACCAAACTTATTTTAAAAAGAAATTAGTCTTGACTGTGTTTAATAAAAGTGGGGCCAGAAAAATTTATGTTTCACTGAATATTAAATTCTAGTTTTGTTAATTTAATGTCTGTGTTTACCAAGACTCACTTCCCAGTTAGTCCCTTGCTGTTATGTTTTACTATTATAAGATCTAATTGAACCGGAGCCGCTGCCGCCAAGTCCGGATCCCATGCCGCGCGCCTCCGACGCCCGCCCGTTCAACGGTCATTCCCGATTCCTTTAGGTTCTAAGTCCAAGATGGCAACTCTCAAGGATCAACTGATTCAGAATCTTCTTAAGGAAGAACATGTCCCCCAGAATAAGATTACAGTTGTTGGGGTTGGTGCTGTTGGCATGGCCTGTGCCATCAGTATCTTAATGAAGGACTTGGCAGATGAAATTGCTCTTGTTGATGTCATGGAAGATAAACTGAGGGGAGAGATGATGGATCTCCAACATGGCAGCCTTTTCCTTAGAACACCAAAAATTGTCTCTGGCAAAGAGTATAATGTGACAGCAAACTCCAGGCTTGTTATTATCACAGCTGGGGCATGTCAGCAAGAGGGAGAGAGCCGTCTTAATTTGGTCCGGCGTAACATGAACATCTTTAAATTCATCATTCCTAATATTGTAAAATACAGCCCAAATTGCAAGTTGCTTGTTGTTTCCAATCCAGTTGATATTTTGACCTATGTGGCTTGGAAGATAAGCAGCTTTCCCAAAAACAGTGTTATTGGAAGTGGTTGCAATCTGGATTCAGCTCGGTTCCGTTATCTCATGGGGGAGAGGCTGGGATTTCACCCATTAAGCTGCCATGGGTGGATCCTTGGGGAGCATGGCGACTCTAGTGTGCCTGTATGGAGTGGAGTGAATGTTGCTGGTGTCTCCCTGAAGAATTTACACCCTGAATTAGGCACTGATGCAGATAAGGAACAGTGGAAAGTGGTTCACAAACAGGTGGTTGACAGTGCTTATGAGGTGATCAAACTGAAAGGCTACACATCCTGGGCCATTGGACTGTCAGTGGTCGATTTGGCAGAAAGTATAATGAAGAATCTTAGGTAGGTGCATCCGATTTCCACCATGATTAAGGGTCTCTATGGAATAAAAGAGGATGTCTTCCTTAGTGTTCCTTGCATCTTGGGACAGAATGGAATCTCAGACGTTGTGAAAGTGACTCTGACTCACGAGAAAGAGGCCTGTTTGAAGAAGAGTGCAGATACACTTTGGGGGATCCAGAAAGAACTGCAGTTTTAAAGTCTTCTAATGTATCACTTCACTGTCTAGGCTACACAGGATTTTAGTTGGAGGTTGTAACTCATACTGTCTTTTATATCTGATCTGTGATTAAAACAGTAATATTAAGACAGCCTAGGAAAAAATCAATTTCCTAACGTTAGAAATAGGAATGGTTCATAAAACCTTGCAGCTGTATCTTGATGCTGGATGGCACTTACCTTGTGTAGTCCTAAATTGGTTTGTCAAATAATTCAACTTCCTCAAGAGGTACCACTGCCCATGTTGCAGATGCTGCAGTTGCCCTTGAAACCAGATGTGTATTTACTGTGTTATATAACCTCTGGTTCCTTTAGCCAAGGTGCCTAGTCCAACTTTTTTCCCTCCAGTGAATCACATCCTGGGATCCAATGTATAAATCCAGTATTGCATGCCACGTGTGCATAACTGTTCTAAAGAATCTTACGTACTGTATGAATCAGAATAGTGTACACTGCCTTGTAATGTAAAAGGGAAAAATTACATAAATAATGCCACCAACTAAGTGTTACACCAACTAAATAAAGCTTGAACAGTGACTACTCTGATAATTTTTAAAAAAAAAGATCTAATTGAGTTAATAAAAGGACACTCTAAGTTTGTTTCTGAAGCCTGACTTCATAATCAATCTTTGGATAAAGATCAGGTGCCCCATGACCTACAACCAGGAGATGAACACCAGCCTATAGTTGTTCAACAAAGTCAGACAACACGGTATATACTGGGTTGCATCTAATAAAAGTTCTTAAATTCTTACTTGTGAACTTACTACTAGCATAGTGTTTTCTGTTTTAAAATTAATTTAATTGGAGGATAATTTCTTTACAATATTTTGGTGGTTTTTGCCATACATCAACATGAATCACCCACAGGTGTACATGTGTCCCCCACATCCTGAATCCCACCACCACCTCCCTCCCCACCCCATCCCTCTGGGTTTTCCCAGAGCACTGGCTTTGAGTGCCCTGCTTCATGCATCGAACTTGCACTGGTCATCTGTTTTACATATGGTAATATATATGTTTCAATGCTGTTCTCTGAAATCATCCTACCCTCCCCTTCTCCCACAGAGTTCAAAAGTCTGTTCTTTACATCTGTGTCTCTTTTGCTGCCTTGCGTATAGGATCGTCATTATTGTCTTTCTAAATTCCATATATATGCATTAATATATTGTATTGGTGTTTCTGACTTACTTCACTCTGCATAATAGCCTCCAGTTTCATCCACCTCATTAGAACTGACTCAAATGCGTTCTTTTTTATAGCTGAGTAATATTCCATTGTGTATATGTACCACAACTTCCTTATCCAGTCATCTGCCAATGCACATCTAGGTTGCTACCATGTCCTAGCTATTGTAAACAGTGCTAGCATGTTGTTTTCTATATTGCACGGTTTACAAAACTGTTTTCTCTTACATTACCAAATGTGTGACTGAGCCTCTAATAAACTGATGATAGATAGTTCCATACGAGATCAATAATCGTAATAATGTTAACTCTAGATATGGGAAGAAGCAACATGAGGGAATATTTTCCTGGACTATAAGAGACTAGTAAGGCAGATATGGTCCAGGACTTCTGTTACTTTCATGCCTACTAATGGCATATTGAGTGACCTATCAAAAATAAATCTTCACCAGACCTGAGCACTGCTACCACCATGGGACAAAATGGACCATGAGTTGCCCCCAAAACCAAGGTCAAATCTACAGCCATGAAGGAGCCCTGCTGACTGGAACTGGCACTTGCTGTTTGCCTCTACGGAGATTAAATCAGGAGCCACTGCAGCTACTGACCTTCAATGCCCCCTGAAAGGAGCTCAGGGTAGCAATCACAAATGAGGCACTTTGTGCTCTGGGAAAAACTGGTGGAACAGGCCTTCAGATAATTAGATATTTTCATGAGTCCCAATTCTTGCATCTTCGCACACCTAGAGAAACACCAATATCATGGGCCAATGTCTGATCCTAGTTCTCCTGACTAGCCTCTCTTCTGGGCCCCTCGGCAGCTTCTCTACTTCTATTAATCTTTGGGCCACATATCTCTAACCATCCTGTTAAGTTTGTTTTTTTCTAGAAGACAACAAGTAAAATCTCCAGATGCTGTTACAACAAGGATACCAGCTGGTGAACACATTGGAACAAGCGGTTCTGTCATTCTGTGGACTCTCAAGTCCCTGAGCAGATGCACCCTGACAGAGAGCAGGCACTGAGACCCAGAACCCCACGATGCCCCTGTCCAGCAGGAAGAAGCCAGAGTGGTCTGTGCCCCTTGCCCCAGTGACCTGGGTCCCCACGTCCCAAGACCGGGATAGGCAGGTAGTTAGACACGAGCAGGGTGTTAATGAGATTTGGCCCATTAATAAGGAGAGGGACGAATGTTGAGCTCCTGCCCCCAAGGCCAGAGGTGTGAGGACTTGCACCAAGGCCACAGAAGCAGAGCCCAGAACCAAGGACACCTCTGAAGCTGACTGAACCCCTTTGAAATCACTGCCAAAAGCCCCCTGATCATCACTAACAAGCATCCTGACTCCCAGTTACACCTACTCCAGTAAACACCCTAAGGCACCCCAAACAATCACCTAATGTCAACCATCCAGCAGGAATTTTATCTTGAGGCTATAAAAAGTGGCTATTAACTCACAAAAACTACTGACTCTCCTTGGCCTGTCAGGATGATGGCCCACTGCACCTGCAGTGCCCACATTATCTCTGCTCTTTGTTCTTAATAAACTAACTCCCCTCTCAAATGCTCTTCTTTTCCAACCCTGACTCAACAAATACTATCTACAATGATGATAAGACTTTAGCTGGTTAGATTCATCTGTTAAAATACAGGGAAATATACAGCAGGCCTAATTTCCCTGTGGGGAAAGGTAATCCCACACCAGTATTACTGGTGTTCTCTACTCCTAACTGTTCGGTAACTATCTCTGCCAGGCAGGATTCTCTACATGTTTGTTCATTTTTCACCCGGTATCCTTCTCAAGTCTCACCAAGTTGCATTAAAATGTCTATTCTCCATTTGGGCCATTGATTCCAACAGTAAGAACCAACAAATGTCTCCTGGGCGCAAACCTTATACAAAGACTATATTTAGCTAGGCATCTACCAGCTGGGATTCTACTAGGAAAGTCACTTAAAACTTTGTCTGTACCTCCATTTCTCTGCTTTAAAATAGCCCCCATGAACAGGAAGATCTTGTCTTCAATTTAGGTCATGTCCAGACAACACATTAGAAATGCTGTGGGGAGAAGGAATGTTTCATTTGGTGATACTTCCCTAGCCTAAGGGAACTTACAACACAGCTGGAAAGACAGAAACACATCAGACCTTAAAGTGATTTGTGCAGAGGATTGATGTGAGAAAAGGAAATTTTAATCCTGATCTACCATGAATTCCCTGTGTCACCATGGCACATGATACAATCTCCTAAACCTTCCTGTCTCATTTGTAAACTGAGAAGGCTAGAGTGGGTGATGATGATAACAGCTAAAATTCATTTAACATTTCTTATACACTAGGCCCTATATCAAGTACTGACCATGGATAAACACACTGAAACCTCACAATACTGCTGAGGTAGGTACCACTATCATCCTTATCTTACAAATAATCCATGAGATCCAATGTTCTGTAATTATGTGGTTTCAAGTTAAAGATTATGGTAGACAGTATTTTCCAAAGGTGGCCACAACAATAGTTCCCATCCCACATGCTCTTCTTAGAAAGTATGACTTTGACACTCCTGCCTTAGAGAGGTGGGTCTATGTCCCCTCTCATTGAATCTGGGTGGGCTTTTGTCTGGAAAAAGTTATATTATGGGACTTCTGAGAAGAGGTCATAAAAGCCAATTAATACAGCTTATATTAGTTTCCTACTGTTGCACAACAGATTGTCACAACAGTGGCTTAAAATAAGACATTTGATCATCAAAAAATCTACAAACAAATGTTGGAGAGGGTGTGAAGAGAAGGAAACTCTTCTACATTAGTGGTGGGAATGTAAAGTGGTACAGTCACTATGGAGAACAGTATGGAGTTCCTTAAAAAAGTAAAAAATAGAGCTACCATATGACCCTATAATTCAACTCCTAGCCATATAGTTGGGAGAAAAATACAATCCAAAAGGATACATCCACCTCAGTGCTCCACTGCAGGACTGTTTACCACAGCCAAGACCCAGAAGCAACCAAGACCCAGAGGAATGGATACAGAAAATGTGGTACATATATACAATGGAATATTACTCATCTAATAAAAGAATGAAATAATACCATTTGCAACAACATGGATGGACCTAGACACTGTCATACTGAATGCAATCAGTCAGAAAAAGAGAAATACATGCAAATTTTAAAGACAAATGATAGAAATGAACTTATTACAAAATAGAAACTGTAATGCTAAGTTAGTCAGACAAAGAGAAATATATGCGGAATTTAAAGACAAATGATAGAAACGAACTTATTTACAAAATAGAAACAAACTCATAGAATGAATTTATGGTTACTAAGGAAGGGTTGGGGGGAAGACATAGTTATGGAGTTTGGGACTGACGTGTACACACTGCTATATTTAAAATGGATAACCAACAAGGACCTACTGTATAGCATAGGAAGAAATTCAATACCATGTGCCAGGCTGGATGGGAGGGAAGTTTGGGGGAGAATGGGTTCATGTATATACATGGGTAGGTAACTTTGGAGTCCACCTGAAACTTAGGTGATGTAGTAGTAAAGAATCCAGCTACCAGGGCAGGAGACGCAAGAGACATGGGTTCAATCCATGGATCGGTAAGATCCCCTGGAGGATAAAATGGTAACTCCCTTTAGTAATCTTGCCTGGAAAAATCCATGGACAGAGGAACCTGGCAGGCTACAGTCCATGAGGTCTCAAAGAGTCAGACACAACTGAGCAGGCACACACACACTTGCCTGGAATACTCTTCCCCACCCCCAGTGAAACTATCACAACATTGTTTACTGGCTAAACTCCAATATAAAATTGAAAGTTTAAATTAATAATAAAAAAAAACTATACAGAGAACATCAGCTAGGATGTCTGCAACAAAAACGACAGAGAATAACAAGTGTCAGCGAGGTTGTGGAGACACTAGAACCCAAATACATCACTGGTGGCAATGTTAGAAAGACACTGAAGCCCAGTTTGTAAAAACAGTCTGGCAGCTTTCAAAAGACTAAACAGAGTTACTTATGACCCAGTCATTTCACTCTTAGGGATCTACCCATGAGATGTGAAAACATACAACCACATAAAACAACCCAATCAAAAAGTGGGCAGAAAGCCTTAACAGACATTTCTTCAAAGAAGATATACAGATGTCAGTAGGTACATGAAAAGGTGCTCAACATCAGTAATTATTAGAGAAATGTAAGTCAAAACTACAATGAGAAACCATCTCACACCTGTCAGAATGGCCATCATTAAAAAGCCCACAAATAACCAATGTTCGAGAGGGTGTGGAGAAAAGGGAACCCTCCTACACTGCTGATGGGAATGTAAACTGGTACAGCCATTATGGAAAACAGTGTGGCATTTCCTCAGAAAACTAAAAATAGAATTACCATATGATCCAGCAATCTCATTCCTGGGCATATACCCAGACAAAACTCTAATTCAAAAAAGATACCTGCAAGAAAACACTTGAAGACATTATAGTCAAAAACTTCCAAACATAAGAAAGGAAATAGCCAGCCAAGTCCAGGAAGCACAGAGTCCCATACAGGATAAACCCAAGGAGAAACACGTGGACACACATATTAAACTAACAAATACAAATTCAAAGAAAAAGCATTAAAAGCAGCAAGGGAAAAGTAACAAATGATATACAAGGGAAACCTCATTAGTTTATCAGCTGATGTTTCAGCAGAAACTCTGCAGTCCAGAAGAGAGTACCAGCATACATTTAAAGTGATGAAAGGGAAAAAACTACAACCAAGATTAGTCTAACCATCAAGGATATCATCCAGATTCAACAGAGAAATCAAAAGTTTTGCAGACAAGCCAAAACTAAGAGAACTCAGTACCACAAAATCAGCTTTACAACAAATGCTAAAGGAACTTCTCTAGGCAGGAAACATGAAAGAAAAAGACTTACAAAAACAAACCCCAAAGAATTAAGAAAATGGTAACAGGAACATACATACTGATAATTATCTTAAATATAAATGAATTAAATGCTCCAACCAAATGGCACAGGCTGGCTGAATGGATACAAAAACAAGACCACTATATATGCTGTCTACAAGAGACCCACTTCAGACCTAGGAACACATACAGACTGAAAGTGAGGGCATGGAAAAAGATATTCCATGCAAATGGAAATCAAAAGAAAACTGGGGTAGCAATACTTATATCAGACATAATAGACCTTAAATTAAAGACTGTTGCAAGAGACAAGGAAGCACAGTACATAATGATCAAGGGATCAATCCAAGAAGAAGATACAACAATTGTAAATACTTATGCACCAAACAATGCATAAGGCAAATTCTAAGAGCCATAGAAGGGGAAATCGACAGTAACACAATAATAGTGGGGGACTTTAGCACTCCACTTACACCAATGGATAGATCATCAAGAACAAAAAGTTAATAAGGAAACACAAGTCTTAAATGACACACTAGACCAGATAGACTTAATTGATACATATAAGACATTCCATCTGAAAGCAGAATACACTTTCTTCCTAAGTGCACATGGAACATTCTGCAGCATAGATCACATCTTGGGTGAAAAATCGAGACATGGTAAATTTAAGAAAACTGAAAGTATATCAAGCATCTTTTCAAACCATAATGCCATAAGATTAGAAATTTATTATGGGGGAAAAAACTGTAAAAAAAAAAAAAACACCACAAAAACATGAAGGCTACATTGATATGCTATTAAATAACCAAGAGATCACTGAAGAAATCAAAGAGGAAATAAAAATACATAGAAATGAATGACAATGAAAACACACACAAAACCTATGGGATGCAGTAAGAGCAATTCTAAGAGGGAAATTTATAGCAATATAATCCTACCTCAAGAAACATGAAAAATCTCAAATAAATGACCTAACCTTACACCTAAAGCAATTAGAGAAAGAAGTACAAACAAAACCCAAAGTTAGCAGAAGGAAACAAATCATAAAAATCAGAACAGAAATAAATGAAATAGAAACAAATAAAATATGGGCAAAGATG